AGTCGAAGTAGGATGAACGGATCATATAAACCCGAAGGAAAATATAATACAAGCCCAAACGAAAAAATATATAAAAGTCTAAATTGAAAACAACGTTCAAACCTATGATTGCGTTGGATAAAAACCGCAATTTTTATACGTGTGCATGTAAAACAAATTTCGTGGTAGAGGGGTCTAAATACAGCACAAACAACGATTTCCAAAAAACCAAAAAAAGTGAAAAAGTCTATTTTAACAAAACGCATTTGACTAACAGGTCGAACAACTGATGTTCTTAAACCCTGCTGACTGCCATTGGCGATTGCCAAATAAATTGATCACCAAATCTAACAAAATGGATCTTAATATTAATTTAATACCAAACAGAAAACAATAAACTTGTGGAAAAGATGGTATACCACAAACATGAGGTGCAAAAATTTGTACACCATATCCGGATTTCAACAATTAATGTCTCTTCAGTGATGTTAGGGATCAACACGGTATTTGGAAGGCCATAAAATTTACCTCAATTTAGGAAAGACTCTTGAATTTTATATATATATATAATACTCATCACACCAAAATAGTATGACGAAAAGATGAACATATCAAATCGTGTAAATTTCTAATCGGTTTTTTCCCTTCATTTCCGTGTGAAGTGGTTATCGGTTTTGTACTTTATCTATTTAATATGGTTCATATTATTGCAGTAGATGGTTGTTAGAGCATCTGGGGTAGGTTGGGCGGTTGTAATGTCATTTGTATTGGTAAGGATACGACAGCAGACAACGAAAGCGCACCCAGTCACTTCCAAGTGGTTGTGGAATACATAACAATAGTAACAAAAAAGAGAAACATAATTGTACCCTGAGCATACTTCATCTGTAATACTCCTCTGACCAAGTGGTTGTGGAATACATAATAATGGTAACAAAACAGAGAAACATCACAAAACCTTACACAATCAGCAAAGGTAGTAGGGAATGGAAGTATAGCCGTTTTAGTCATATCGTGAGTGATTGCGATATTCAATGACTAAATGCTCAGGATGTTTACATAAATGTGCAGGACGAAGATTTCGATCAACAGGACAACTCGAAAGGGAGAGCAAAAACAAGTACTGATGCAATTAAACAAACCAATGTCAGTATAGGGACGATAAGACAAAGGAGAAAGGATTAGCCTGATAATAAAAGGGAAAAAGATTATTTTAACATCCTCTTGCTTTGTAAACAAAATCTGTTTTGATTATCACAGTATATATCTGACACATGCGGACAAACTTATTGTTTTAATTCTCATCATTTTCATTTTTTATTCTAAAGAAATATATATTTTAGCTGCTTATATAAAATTGTGCTATATATTATTGTTGAATAAGAACAATATATTTACCCAAAATTGATTTTTTAAACTTATACAAATTACAAAAGAGGGCAGCAAGAATCATTTTAAATGCAGGTTTTGATATCTCTTCATCAGTTATGTTTAAAAAGTTAGAATGGCTTACCATTTATAATAGAATTAAATATATATATATGATAGTGATGGTTTATAAGAGTATGAATAATCTAGCACCTGGATATTTATCTGCACTATTTTCAAGTTGTTCCGTTGTTAATAAATACGCATTAAGATCATCTTCCCAAAATAATATATTTGTTCAACGATATAACACTAATTATGGTAAAAGAACATTTATGTATTCTGGACCCTTGTTGTGAAATTCCTTGCTTTTGACTTTGAAAGAAAGTAAAAGTATAAATGATTTTAAAACAAAATGTGAGAACTTTTCGCAATTTTAATGTAACAATTTTCTACGAATATACTTTTTATTTAAGTAAATTGTAATTGTTTACATGTACTATATATGTGCTCTTGTATGCAGTGTAGTATGTTTTTTGCTTTATTACCCTTTTGTTTATGTATTATTTTTGTTAACTGCTGTGTAACCTTCTGAAAATAAAGAATGTATTATTTTTAGTAGTAGTAATAAATATGAAAATGGCTGTATTCGGTAGCCTGATTTATGCAGCTGGAATGCGGCTACACAAAAATGGAAAATTCACAATAAGAAAATTTAATTCAGCTACCTGTTATTTCAATGATTCAATTTAGAATAAGTTATACACTAGTCTCTGAAAACGATATTTTGTTTCTCTTCCTCAGTTCTTTCAACCTTCTAATAAGCCCAAGGATTCACGGATCATCGAAATATGGTTAGGCCTGGATTTCTCTCTTTCAGGTAGTAAAACGAGGCGTCCGTAAGGAAGTGCAGGATGTGTAAATTTCCAAACACGTCCTTCTTAATAAGGTTGTGAAATTCTATGCATCGTGTAGGTAGAGTGGCAAACTCTCTGTGCGTTTATAAAAATTGCAACAATTCCCTGAGTGTTCCGTTGAAGTAATGTTTCAAACTAGGATATTTGCCCTATTCCATTTTATCAGAATTTTTCAAAGGCAGTTGAATTTACCCATTCTTCATCCTTCTCGATCTACCTCGCAGACCTAACCATTGTGTTAATTGGTTTTTTTTTTTTTGATATAGATATGCATGAAATATGTGTGATTTTACGTTAAACAAGCAATGATAAACATGTTTAATTGTTCAACTAACTATTTTACAATTGATAGGTAAGGTCATGTTTAGCTTTCTGTCAATTAAGAGCCTGTCAATGAGAAAATCATGCAATATGCCAAAAATTGTCCGAAAGCAAGTTTTTAAATTAATGTTATGTGACATGTAGGTACTCTGTGTTTACCATCAAAAGTGAAAATATTTCATTCTATTTTTAGAAATGATCAAATCTATTTTGAAATTTGTTTTTGCCAATTTATGCAAAGTGTTGTCATTTTTTGATAGGAAGCAAGTTAAGCACGTTTTGACCGTCAAATGATAAAAATTGGCATCATGCCCAATTTTGAAAAAGGATTGGTACATAGAGGTTGGTGTTGCCTACCGTTTAAGGTTAATAATTTGTAAGATAACACGTGATTTTTGTTTATTTTGTGCTTTTTATATTTCATACTGTTGAAATCTTCAGTGTGTGTAAGCTTTTGCTTTGCAAAGAAAGTTTAAGTATGTTTTAAGCATTTCAAAAAATCTAAAAAATTTAACGAAAAAAAGGAAGAATTTCAGACAGAATATCCTATGTATTTGCAGACCAACCCCTCAAGACTAACCAAAAGTTACTGATATATAGAAAATAATTTAGGGGAAAATACGGCACATATAATAGTCATTAAAATGTACTGCAGGCCCTGACAAGACAGTAGTTCGTTTTTTACTAGAATTGACAGAAACGTATATAGAATGAGGTGAGGTTATTTCATAAATCAAAAAAGAATTGATTCACACCATCATAAAATTATATTTTTCAACTTACTTACGAATAACAAATAGGTTGTAAGTAATTATACACGTATTGAACTGACCGCTCCTGCCTCTAGCATCCTATACTCTCTATTTTCTCTATCTATATTACATAGTATATCCGTTTGTAAATTGGTTTATGAATGGTGTTGAAGTAGTCAAAATGTAGAGGGTCTTGTTGGGGTTTACATAATAGATAATATTGGGCAAGAAGAGCCGCATAACGGCCAAAAAGCAAAAAATATAGAAAAAATAGACATAAAGGAATATTAAATAATAATAGGGAGCTTAGTATTAAAGAATAGAGAATAATGGACAAAATAAATAATTGTAATAAAGAATAGAGAAATGAATGATTCCACCCAGACTCTCATAATATTTGCATACTAAAAAATACAAATGCTATCGATCAATGTGGAAATTTGAATTAAAAGTGAACAAGTTTGAAAAATATGTTTATTAATACCAAAAAATACGCAAGTGAGACTAATAAGAATACAATGTACATGTATTTTACGCATTTATTAGATTTTGCTAGGTGCTGCATTGATATACAGTGGAACATCAAGTAAACTGATGAATAGATGAAGGTTTTACCTCCAGTATGCAGGGAAATATTGAATTCATATTCAGCATGTTCAGGTCGACAACTGTTAATGTAATACATGTATTGATATAAAACCTGCTTACAATTTGCACTAGACCAACAAGATATGCCGGATTGTTAGTTCACAGTCCGCAGGACTGAAGACATGTTGCCCTACCCGAACACCCTATTCTGACTCATGGAAATTGACTAGTCCTTGTTATTACTCCTCAATTCCACTGCCTAAGCAGAAAAGCAGCAAATACAAATTTTCGAGTCGATCAATAATCGAACCATCGGTCTCCCGCTTTTGGCGCGACCACGCTACAACGAAACCACTATATTGCTTTACATCAGTAAGATAGGCCACTAAATCGAAGCAGTGTTGTAAATTACTCACACTGTAATTGAAGAAGACTTTAATTGACGATAAAGATCAAATACGCTAGTAAATCAATTTGGAAGATAAAGTGTCGTGTTGATATGAGCAGGTCTTTAAAGACTGAACAATTAATTGGAAATTCGTATTCATTCGTTCAGTCACTTATCCACTGCAATGAAATTAGTACTGTTCAAACAATTTCCTTGCAGTCAATAAAGATGTGCTCAGTCTACTTTTAATACTGTTCAATTGTTGTCTATTTACTGTACAAAACAACACAGTACTGGATTGTCTGTAAACCTGAAGGACAGTATTCAGCTTGCATAGATCTAAAAAGTACATGCACTTAATTCATAAAAAGAAAAAAAATATGCCATATATGCGTGCGCTACTATTACAGTTGTGTCCGCAATAGCCTTCAACGTGCAATCACGTGACCAAAATTGTGGAAAGCAAATATGTAAACTTTGGAAAAGTTAAATTTTTCTATCAATATTGCAAAAAAAGTTCTTCAAACGTGTACTCTTAGATTTGACATAAAGGTCAGCGACAAGGAACAGTGTAATATTTAGTTTTTATAGTAATAAATAAATATATATATATATATATATAGTTTTTCCTTGTTTTACCCACTCTACAAAACAATAGAGTTACAGTTTAACATCTCATCAACGTATATTTTTACTTCCGTATATTTTAAGTATTTTGTATTATTTGATATCATAAGTATCATAATACAATGTTATCAGTGAAAACAGTAATAGTATATTGAGAGCGGGGAGGAGGGTTATCGTTTAAATACGTAGGAAGTTTAATCATCGTATAATTGTATAAAATGTCCAGTATTGTAGAATTACTTTGCCTATGATAATGCAGCCATGACTACGTCGTTGCGTTACGTTTGGTTAGCAACTGTTATTGTTGTCTGCATCGATGGTTCTGTACAGTCAACAGTATCTGATGGTAACAGTAATTGTACTAACCTAAAAGGTAAGGAACTGACTTTTTGTTTCAATCAGTATTTATACGAAAGAAAACACATGTGTTTTACTAATAATAATATCATGGTTAAAGTTTATGTTGAGCTCTCATTGATGAGTAGAAACGTTTTGCCTGAATCTGAGTTTGTCATTTTTAAAACCTACTATACATCAAATTAAAGTAACTTTGCACTTACTAGAAATATTGTTCGCATATGAAAGATTTCAGATGTAATTAAAGTCAGAAGGTTCAAAGTAATAGTACTTTATCAATTTAAATGCAGGCATACTTATATGTATTTTACACTTCTTTGTGCATGTTGAGTAAATATCTTTAATTCGAGATTCAGAACTATTCATGAATACTTGAGTTACTGTGATATGATCATTCATTTTAAAATTTTCAAATAAAATATATCGCTTTTGAGGAACAACTATACTGAGTAATAATAGTTTAGCAATATATATTTGAATTACAATTCTTTAAATTTAAATTTTCCAAAGTCGTGGAAGTACCTTTTAAAAAATATTATTGGTCGAATAAGAAATGCAACTTATGCTTTATTATCTCTGCTACCACGATGATCTATTGATTGCTATGTTTAAAGTATAGTCTATTGATTTTTATGTTTAAAATATAGTCTATTTGTTGTTACGTTTAAGTATAGTCTATTTATTGTTATGTTTAAAGTGTAGTCGATTTATTGTTTTGTTTAAAGTATAGTCTATTTATTGAAACGTGTTTAAGTATACTAGATACTAGTAGTCTATTTATTATTAATTTCATTAAAAAAAAGAAAATGTGGCCAATATGACAACTCTCCACTAGAGACCAAATGGCAACAAGTTAACAACTATAGGTCAATGTTCAGCCTTCAACAATGATCAAAACCAAACTGCATTGTAAGATATAAAGGCCCTAAAATGACAAATGTAAAACAATTCAAAGAAAAAACAACCGGCCTGATCTACTAGATTGTAACACACAATACAGGAAAAACAATATCTATACCGATAAAAATATTCTTCTAAAATTTGAATACAGTATTGAATTGGCAACCCTTTTGAATAAGTTTATTTAAAGGATCAATAATTTTACCCGGATCGAATCTAAAGTCATGGGCTGTTAGTCTGTTTTGAAACAATTTTGTTTGCTTATTATATATATTTTTGTTACAAATAGATATTAATATGTGTTATTTTTATTGTTAGGTTTAAAGGATGGTTTAGCAAAGCTGAATGCATCTATTGCAGTGGCAGAAAAAACGTGTTCTCAAACAGCAGGTATGTATGTTAATTAGAGTAAGAGAAAACAGAGGTGTTAGATACCAAGGGACAATCAAAATCAAGTTGAAAAAATTCGGAAACATTACATTACTTATACTGAACTTAAGTATCTGACCTACATAATATGTATCGCATATTTATTATATATTAATTAATTTAATACAGGATAACACACATTTTTCAAGAGGTTATTGATGTGTAAATCATCAATTAACTCACAAACTGAATAAAAGTCAACATCAATAACCTCTAGAAAAAGTGTGTTTAATCCTTATAATTCTTAAGCCAAACATTCGCGATTTTCGTAACTAAGGAGTTAGCTGTCATAATGAATTTCTAAGATACGTAAATGTTCGATAAATGCATCAGAATCTAAAATAAAATAGCAACTACCTCAAAAACTTCATTTTATTGAGATATTATCGAAGTGTTAACCAAGGGAAAAAGTTCTAACAGACCAATCCGTTTCAAGTATTTATAGATATGTAAATCATAAAAGAATTATTCATTTGTAATGTTTAATATTTTAATTTTTTTATTTGAAAATTTCTAGTAAACATTACAGATTCATCAATTCCTACTATGTTTTCGTTATTATCAAAAGCTTTTGTGTTTATATTTGAAGACGTCTCTAATGTTTATATAAAAAATGAAAACAACACGTTATACATTTCATGCGTCTAAAGCACTTTTCTGGATTTACTTTCATCAGGAACGCTCAAAGCCGAATATTTGAAAGCCAAGTATCTAAAACTTGTTCCTATTACTTTTGCTATTCTTGGGAATGAAATGTGATTGAACTAAACTGCAGAATGCACAATACTTTCGATACTTACTATTTAAGAACAAGTAATGAATAATGTAGAGCAGGATCTGTTTACCCTTCCGGAGCATCTGAGATCACCCCAGTTTTTGGTGGGGTTCGTGTTGCTCCGTTAGTAGTTTTCTATGTTATGTTTTGTATACTGTTGTTTGACTGTTTGGTCTTTTTTTAACCATTGCGTTTTCAGTCTATTTTCGACTTGTTAGTGGTTTCTTTTGCCTCTCTCTTATGAGGCTTTTCTCAGACATCTCTGTTATTGCATACCCCACAAAGGGTGACTGAGGAATAAGATATGTCACTTTGCTTTTCTTTCGACCGGGATTTGAAGCTTTGTCAATATGGGGCGTCTGTGTGGCTCTTCGGGATGTACGCAGCCACGTCCGGTCAGAATGTATGGGAAAGTTCAACCAAATGCAGAAAGAGACAGCCACGCTCTATGCACGTTACGAACCCTTGCAAAAACTCTTTGAGGGGTTCGTTGATGGCCTATTGCAAGGCAAATTGTCCGTCCCTTTCCAATATACCCTCATTTTTTTAGTGGCAGTCCACATTTCCACCAGCTTCATCCTGAACGGCATCTATAACAGGCCCTAATTTTTGTATGTATTGTTAATTTGTTCTCGTCCTGAACATGCATTAAATGTGTCCCAATGGACGTTAAGCAAACACCAATCAATCAATTATCAATCTGTTATTGCAGTACATAGGAATAATACATGTACATGATAAATATGACTACTTCCTAGATATTTCCTTGATAGTTATAATCTAAAGTGCACTTGCCGAAGAGAAACTTACTTAATTAGAAGGTTCACAAGAATAGTGTACAAGTAACAAGATTGCATTAGTATATTATATAAATGAAAATACGAAGATTTGGTGTGATTGCCGATGAGAAAATTTTCAACCAGAGACCATATGACATAGAAGCCTTCACCAATGAGCTTAACAATACCGCATAGTAAGCTATAAAGGCCCTGAAATGACAAATATAAAACAATTCAAACGAGAAAATAACCGGCCTGAATAACTAGTATGTAAAACACAATAAAGGAAAATCAAATATGATAGACAGCAACAAACGACAACCATGGGACAGTGGTATAACAGTACGACATAAGAGCAAACCATAAATATAAGTTGAAAAGGACTTAACCCATCAAATCGACAAATCGATACAAAGCACATAAAGCCCCTAACAAAAACACAAAAGACACAAAGTACAGATCTGAAAGTCAGTTCAAGGCCAATAACAACTAATAAAAAATCATGTATCTAAGATTAAAATGGCAATCAGTACACAACCAACATCCAGTGGATTTAATTTAAAGACGTCAACAACAATCCGAGAAGAACCTGACCTTGTGCAATGCAAAAATATAAGTATCGACAGATTGTAGAACAGATACAAATCAATATTTTTACCGGCAAAAACGATATGCAAAGATCTAATTGCAGTGTTTAACTGGTTACCTATTTTAATAAGTTTATTTGAAGGATCGATAAGTTTACCGTGATCGTATCTAAATTGACGGGCTGTTAAGTCTGTTTTGAAACGCTTTTTCGCTCAGAATATTTTTTGTTCAATATATATATAAGAAGGTATAATTTTTATCGTAAGGTTTAAATGAAGGTGTAGCAAAGCTGAATGCATATCTTGCAGCGGCAGAAAAAACGTGTACTCTAACAGCAGGTATGTAGGTTAAATAGAGTTAGAGATAAAATTGATGTACGATACCAAGGGACAACCAAAATGAAGTTAAAAAGGTTGGAAAAGTTACATTACTTATACTGAACTTATGTATATGAGTTACACAAAATGTATCGCACATAAGGTGTATATTACATGTATTATATAATAATGCATAATGCATAATTCATTTGTAATGTTTAATATTATTCTTTTATTCGAGAATTTCTTGTAAACACTGCAGATTCATAAATTACTAACGTTATTTCGCTTTATGCAAGTTGCGAACCCTTACAACAATTCTGTGAGAGGTCCGTTGATGGCCTGTTGCAAGGTATTTTTTCTGTCCCTATCCAAAATACCTTCATTTCCCAGTGTCAATATTTCCCCAACCTTTATCTAGGAGAGCTTCTTTTACAGGACGTAATTATTGTATTTATTGTTGCTTTTTTCTTGTCCTGAACATGTAGGAAATATTTGCCAATGGACGTTCAGCAAACATCAATCAATCATTAATCAATCAATATATTATTGCAAAACATAGAATTGTGTACAAGTAACCATATTTAATTAATTTATTGCATATATAAAAATACGAACATGTGGTATGGTTGCCGATGAGAGAACTCTCCACCAGAGACCATATGACATAGAAGGTATCACCTATAGGTTACAGTAGGTCTTCAACAATGAGCAAAACCCGAAGGCTATTAAAAGCCCCCCCCCCCCCCTCCCCCCCCAAAAAAAAATATTTTAAACCAGAAAACTAACGGCCTGGTTTATGTTAAACACAATAAACGAAACGCAAATATGATATACATAACAAAAAACGACAAACACTGAATTACAGGCTTCTAACTTGGAACAGGCACATACCGAACTTGGCGGGTTAAACATGGTTGCCGACACCAAACCCTACCCCTAACCAGGGACATTGGTGTAACAGTACGACATAAAAACAAACTATACAAATCCGGTTGGAAAAAGGCGTACCTTAACAGATCTATACAATGCAATATACTTAGAATGAATTACGCATGGTATACTAAGTGTTTTATCTTAATTGTAGAGTGTCCTGTCGACTGGATCTTGCATGGAAATAGTTGTTACTATTTCAGCTATGATTTGACAACTTGGAGTACCGCAACGGTATGTAAATATTTTTTTTCTGCTGCCTTTCGTGCAAATTTTAAAAAATATTTAGAATGTTTTATGACTGTGGTTTCTATCTAAATATTTGTGCATCACTGTTTTTGAAAGTACTACGCATGAATCTTTGGTGATGACGGTTAACATACGCCTATTATGTACACAGGCGTTTTGTAATGGACCCCCTTTTTTTCCGAAGTTAAATTCATTCAATATAATAAAAGTTAAATTCCTTAATTTCTTTAGTAGTTTAACTTTATTCACGGTTTTTATTGCATAAGTATGATATAACAATAACAGTATACTATGACCGATACCCCCTCTATTTTACTTTCCAAGAAATGTTATAAGTTCCGAAAGGACGACAGCGTGCTTCCATAATTTTTACAGAAACGTTTTCATTCGTTTCAGATTGAGTGCCAAAATAAAGGCGGATACTTGGTTGAGGTTGACAATGATCGAGAGAATGCATGGTTGGTGTCAAAGTTAAAAGGTATTTATTTGCAATACTGTGATCATCTGCCTAGATCTTAATATCCTCTATTGAAGACAAAATTGGCAAAAGAATTATAAAAGACACAATTTTTCTTTTAATGTTCCAAAAATTATGCCAAACAATCTTTTCCTTATTATCTCCCTTCTAATACAAATCTATCAGATATCTTGAGACGTTATTTCTGATAAAGAATCACATACAAAAATCCCGCTAAACATTGTTCTCGTCTTAATGGAGTCTTACACGTATGACGTCATCGAAAAGATTTTGGTATCAAGCTATAAAACCAGACATGTGTAAGCTTTGGGTACGTTTCAGAACGAAATAAATTTGAGGTTTTGAAATACTTAAACTTAATCGTCACAGAGGATGGATGATGTTATATTGTTTATGCTCTGTCAAAATGTATTACCATTTTGAACTTAAACAGATGCAATTTTTTTTTCAAATTTACATCTATTTTTTATTTTTTTCTTACCCAGACGAAGTATGGATTGGACTTACTGACATTCAAACCGAAGGAAGATGGCGCTGGCAGACTGGGTCTCCTAGTACTTATAGCAACTGGCAATCTGGTGAACCAAATGGTGGAACAGGACAAAACTGTGCACACTACTGTGCAACCAAATGCCACAAGACGTATGTTGGTTGGAATGATGGGTCTTGTACTGTTCCAATTGGATATATCTGTGAAAAAAATTTACATCATTGAAGTTCCTTTGATACATCGTTAACAGTGGTTTTTTAGACTATTCTTTTAACTTTGTAATTTGCAGACATCTTTTTATATGAAAATTAGCTTTTCTTGGCATGTAAGTTGTTTGTTGTTCATACAAAGAACAGTTTCAAACCCATTTTCTGAATAAAGCTGATTGCAGTTTTATTTCTTTTGTTGTTGTTTTCAGTTAACGATATAATCTTATTTTGTTTAATATATAAACATATAATGTCATATCATAAATGTATCCTTGCACATGACAAGAGTCTCTGTGTCTCAAATAAATTTCACCAGGTACAAACTTACTTAGAAGCGAAATACTAAAACTTGAGTATCGAAACGGGCAACTTTAGGATTAAAGAGGAGATCAGTTTAAAAGGCGAATGATATGATTATCTAAATTTTTGGTATACATGTAACTTAAAGAAAGGAATCATGAATGTAGATATTGAACAAAAGGCCGCATCATATAAAGATCAGCTAAACTGTACAAAATTTAATATTTCTTTAATCACACCGTCTCCGTGATCACGAATAACAAATAGATTATACACGAGTTAAACTGAAGACTCCAGACTCTGGCATCATATACTCTTATTTTTTCCTATTTTTTATCATATCCGTTTACATATCGGTTTATGAATTGTGTTGAAGTGGTCAAATAAAAGAGGGTCTTGAGGAGTTTAAAAATAGCGAAAAGTGCAGAATAAAGGGCAAAAAATAAAGATTGAAACAAGAAGGTAAAAAAAATAAAGAATATATAATAATGGGTTGCTAAATGATTAATAATAGAGAATAATGGGCAAAATAAATAAAGAATAGAGAAACATGAGCAAAATAAATAAAGAATAGAGAAACATGGTCTAAAAATAAAAGAATAAAGAAACACATGACCCCCTCCACCCACTAAGAGCCTCATTGTATGTACATTTCACCCACTGAGATCCTCATTGTATGTACATTTTATCAAATATAAATGCTTCCGATTGATACAGTGCTTTTTGTCCGAAAATATTCTTTTTGTTCCTAACTTTTGCTTTTTTTCCGCTTTGTTTCTTGTCCGTAAAATTTGCATTTTGTCCGAATCTTTTGCTTTTTATATTTTTGTTTTAGATTTCTCCCTTTGCTAAAACCCCCAGTTAAATAGAAGTTACGACCCCGCTGTGACCGCCCAACTTTTCGATCCCACTAATCTCTCTGACGACTCCAATTGGACCAAGTTACAAGAAAACAGTACATTAGCCCATGGTATTCTTGAAAAAACATCTTTCGTAGTTTAAGACAATGGCAACATAAGAAACTGAGACTTCAAAACATCTAAGTTTTGTTAACCCCATTTTAATTCATCGTTGAAGGCCGAAAGCATCAGTGACCTAAATCTTTGACCTGTTGACCACGAAATCAATAGGCTTCTTTCCCTTCCCTATATTTTCTATCAGTATATGTTTCATTCAAATCATGCAAGGGATATTCAAGTTATCATTCGAAAACAGTTTATTTCGGTCGCACAAAAGGATGGACAGACGGATGGCGGAACGGACTGACAATGCGATAATATGCTCCTGATATTTTTTGGGGAGTTTAAAAAGAAATATGCTAGAAACCACTGTGAGTGATGAAATTATTAATTTTCTCCTTTACAACATCTACGTACGTATCGCTAATAAAGTTTATCAACAGGTTATGGTATTCACATGAGCACCGATTGCGCCCCTTTGATAACATATTTGTTCGTGTATTGTAATAACTCACAGTTTTTGTCAAGCCCTGTGAACATCCGTCTAAATCTATTTGATAAAAAAAAATGTATTACACTAACCGTTACTAAATGGTATGTATGTTATTGCTAAGATTACCAATAATTCTTTACTTATACAGCTGATATATACCTCCAGGAAACAAACTTTTTTAATTATGAGGAGCAGTATTTGTCCCTTTCTTGATTTGACCATTTCAGTATCACACATAAAACTGTGTGTTAAAATTTACTAAATGAAGACGATTGTTTCTTTTCATTTTAAGATGATGATGTTCCTTTGGTCCATTCTTACGGTATTTGTATTTTCATATTCGCCGGTTATGCCGTGTCTGTACTGACGTATTAGATGACAATGTTCATGATCTATGTTAAACTGGTAAATTATCTAGTCTGGCATATTGCTACAACTAATGAATTAAAACTTGTACTGAATTCTTTCAAAGATAATAAAGATTTGATTTAGAAGTTTGTACTTGTATTCTTGAGCTTCCGTTTCATATTATGATTTCCTTGATAGATGGTTGCTGCTTATAAGGTCGCTCTTAAATCATGGGTCCCTATTGGTAAATTTGAAGTCATTCCTCCGAACGTTTAATAGATGTCAACACATGATTTAGTTGAATGTAATGGTATATCTGTGTCCCGAGCACCTGACATCATTCCCGTGTTTTGTGTTGTTCAGTCTATTGTGTAATGTTTTGTAAACTGTTGTTTGTCTTTAAGTCATGCTGTTGTCTCTTTCTTAATGATTTGTTAATTGTATCCTTTAATCTTCTGTCTTAATTTTTTTTAACAGAAAGGATAAAATGGTCCCTAACTTTGAAATTCAAAGAAAATAGTCGTTTAATATATATTTATATATTAAATTGACCGTTCTGAAGAGAAATTTTGAGATTTCATTTTTTAAAAGACAGGTACTGATTAAAACATTTAAGATTTTAAATTTTGACCTGTCTAAATTGACTATATTTTTGCGCATTGGTCTTAAAAATTAAATTAAAATATTTCGAACTTAGGACTATTCGAGTAAATCGTACGTCAGTACTTTGGTTATTTCCCTTCCGGCAAAGACGAAGAGAACTATAGATTTGCACTCAAGATTAGTACGTCCGTCAGTAGCCATTTCATATCATCAGAAGTAACCAAGTGACATTAGGGTAAAGAAATTAGCAAAACAATTTTACCTTTGGAATAAGGAATTGCTCAAACATCTGAGTTTTTCGCATTTTCTTTTGCTTTGGTACATTATCATATCATCGGAAGTTACTAAGCGATAGAATGAGGTTCATTGAGGTTGAGCGATTTCTACCTTAGTTGTGGGCTTTGGAAAAATGTTTGAAAATATCAGCTTTCCTATCTATTTTTTGTCATGCTTAAATCAATTGTTTTATTGTTTTACACACAGTCATACATTAAAAAGTGACAGATCTATATAGGGTATGAATGTCTAATCAGTTGAGTGATTTTTGCTAAAAATGTCAATTGGGAAAAGGAACTTTAGTTGAAAATTAAAAACCAAATGTTCAGAGAACAATGAAAGGTCTTTCCACATTAAATTTCTAAATAATTGATATGAAGCTACTTCCGGTTTATTCAAAGTTACTATTGGCGTCCAATCAAAGGTTTCTTCATACTGATTAAAACAAATATATGGTTTCTAGATACTTTTGTCTGATATGAGGCAGATAATTTGTTACTTCCGGTTTTAAAAAGGTCACTTTCGGTCACATGTGAAATCTTTATTCATACAGCTTCTTGAAATACATGGTTTCTATATAATTTTGAATGAAATAAGAGAGATTATTTTATACTTCCGGTAAGGAAAATGTCACATCCGGTCTCAAATGATAGCTTTATTACACTGATTCCGTAGATAACTGGTTTCTATGTACTTTTGCCTGTTATAAGGGAGATAATTAGCTACTTCCGGTTTATTGAAGGTCACTTCTGGTCTCAAACAGGCAAGAGTCAAAATTAAGAACATGTCCTTGACCTCTGGCCTTGATAGTATATTATGAGTCAAGGCTCAACGACCAAAAATCCTAGGTCCATACGGTGTACGGACAAAACATACCAACAAATTAGATTGTAAAGGGTAAATAACTCATATAAGATGTCATTGAATTGCTTCGGTTTAAATCAGCCAAATATGAGAATGTAACGAACAATTAGGAAAACGAATTTTTGTCGCTATCTTTTTCGGTTACGGAGGGGATACAATAACAAGAAAAACAGTGTTTTGGGAGATAACTCTTATAAAAGATAGTCTACGGCTAAACAGGTTGAGTTTCAAAAGCTCAATAACTGTTCGATATAATATCCAAAACATCTTATTGACATCTTGCGAAACCACTTCATACCGCAAAAAAAAGGACCCTAAATAATCTCACCAAAGTTTAAAACGCATTGAAAAGAAAAATTAACATATAACATGCTTTACTAGAGACTTTCTTGAGATTTAATCAATTTCTTTCACGTTAGTGCTAGTATATAAAGATAAGAAGATGTGGTAAGATTGCTACCAGAGACCAAATGACGAAACACTGTAGAAAGTTATATTATTTAAGAGTCCAAGAACATTTATTGGTTCTGTTATTAGCATCCCAAACAAAGGTAAGACATACTGGTTCGCTGCACTATAAAACAAACAGGGAAATAAAGGCTCTTGCTTCTTAAGAACCCGCCGGTGTTTGAAATTTGGTCACTTTCTAATTTAAAAACTTACATTGCAAATACTTACAGATAAATATAAACTCAAAATAAGTTTGGATTGGTTGTTGCTCTCTTCGTTACAGGCACCCAATGCAAAAAATGAAAAACAAAAAATGAAAAATTGGATGCTTTTATGTATCGAAAATCTGTGTGAAGGACAAGAATGATACATTTCTAATAGTCAAAATGTATTTTTGATGCAGAATACTATTTATCAACACTCTTTTCCTATTCCTTTTTTTACTTTTTAAATTTTTGTTGGAATGCCTTTACAAAATGCAGCGATTGAACAACACCAGGATAATTATATGATGCTGGATGACTGTTTAGCGTCTAGTGGCAAATTAAATGAATTTTCATTACGAGAATCTGTTATTGCAATATGAATGTTGCCCTGCTTTGTACTAAATCTTCACACTGAATTGGATTTTCAACGTAAAGTTCACAAGCTTACTATCCACAGGAAGAAATATCACCTTACTCAGACACAGTTTTCTGACTCTGAGTCGACCAGGCTTTGCTCTTACTTCTTGATGTCGCGTACTCACCCGGAGAAGCAGCAAATGCCAATTTTAAAGTCTTTGGTTTGGTAGATAACGAACTCAAGAATACCCACACTCGAGGCGAGCAGCTACCACGATATCACTAAGAAGGTTCTTTACAAATAAGCCTATTAAGCCAAAGAGATATAT